CCCCTCTTCCCTTTCTTCTCCCCTTTATATCCTCTCTCTCCTTTTTTCCGTTTCTTCATTCAAATTGTTATGGAAGTGTTCTTAATATTGCCCTAAGGCCACTACTGTGGACTTGGTATGTTTGTGCTCTAGTCTGGAAACCAGAAAGCAAATAATGTTCTTTCTTGCATCAGGAAAACCTTAGTCAGGGATCCCTCTTTGGACCATAATGGCCAAGAGAAAGGGGTTTCACAGTTGATCCAGTCTAGGCCAGGTGGCCACCTGATCCCAGAGGTGGTGTCCATACAGTCTATCCTGAGTCTCAGTCTATCTGTCATGGCAGGGAGGACATGGCAGAATTCATGGTGGTGGTAGCATGTGCTAGAGAATTCCTCACATCATTAATGAGTGGGAAGCAGAGTGGCCAGAATTAGGGACCAGGCTAAAACCTTCAAAGCCCCACCTCTAGATGTCTGCTAGGTCCTGCCTCCTAAGGCTCCACAGTCCCCTTATAGGCACCAGTAGCTATGGAACATACATACACCCAAAGCGTGGGTCTACGGAGACCCTTCAGATTCAAGATGCAGCACTCCTTAACAGATTTGACAAGGTGTTACAGCCTGGACCAAGACAGAATGTCACTGATAAAACACAAATCTGCATCCTTTCTTTTGGCTAACGCTACACACAAAGTAGTAGAAGAGCATGTTCATATAACTGTGTACTATGTGTCTCTTTGGGTACAGGAGTGTGTGTGTGTGTGTGTGTGTGTGTGTGTGTGTGTGTGTACATATGTGTGTGTGCACATGCGTTCATGCACACACACATTTGTACTTATGTATACAGAAGCGTGCATATTCTGTAGTCACAAGTCTCCTAGGATTTTAATCCTTCCACTGGGGTGTAAAGAAGGGGTATTGAAAGCTGAGGCCAGAAGGCGGGACCTAAAAGGCACTCATAAGCTCAACTCCACAGCCTGTTCAGATGGCTTCACTTCAGACTGGAGCCTGCCACCCCACCCTCTGGAGGCCTAGTGGAGAGATTCCTAGCTCTGTTGCTGCAGTTTCAGGAAGGGTGTATTTGGGGTGGAGCCTAGAGAATTTCTGGCCAATGACAGTGTAGGTAGTCTGTGTCTGTTTACCACTTTGAGAAGTGCCCCACCCCCCAATCTGGGTGAGTGCTCCTATTTGGGTTGTTTTCTGCCTCTCCAGCTCTGCTCTTTCTCCTTTGGCTGGGGCACCTGTGCTAACAGATAAAAATAAGAGGGTTCCCAGTAAAATTTGAATTCCAGATCAGAAAACTTTTTTTTAGTACAAGTATGTCTGAGATGTATTATAATAATAGTAATAATTAAAAAAACCCCACATTCATCTGAAATTCAAATGAAATGGGCATACAGCATCTAATATGGCCACCTTTTCATCAAATTAGGGTCAAGTGCCCCTTTCCTGCTGCTTCCCTGTGATTGAATAGGCCAGCGCTGTTAATGAAGCCTGCTCAAAGAGGACTTGTGATCTGGGGGCAATCCACCTGCTCCCCTGAACTCAGTGAAGAAGGAATTGGTTTGTGTCCATTTCAGTGCTCTTGCTGGCTCTCTGCTTCTTTCTCTCTGTTTATCTGTCTGTCTGTCTGTCTTTCCCGCTCACAATTTCTTTACCCCATCTCTTTTCTGTGTGTGTATGGGAGTGACTTAAAGGCAGAAATCTGTGATGTGGAAGACTTATCCAGCAAAGATCAACTCTTGGCAGCAGTACAGAATCCTAGAGACCAATGACATCCCAGGGTAGAGGGGATGAGTGACATTTTGCCTGGAGGAGATGGAGATCACCAGCTGGTACCCCACATATTGTGGGTTAGGCTGGAGTGTTCATGTGGTTGGTTCTCATTGTGTTGGAGTTGTTGGAGTTTGCACAGGAATGGAAGGGAACTGACTCCGCTTGGTCCCTTTCGCGGGCGGAGGGAGCCCACTGCTATGGGTTTATCACAGATTGAGAGGCAGAGAAAAACTTGAGCAATCAAAGACCTCCTGGAGACTTGGACTTGGCAACCTCCTAAATGGCCCCATTTGTCCCCGTTGCTTGCCAGAATGCCATAATGCTGAGAGTGGTGACGATGACAGCAGAAGGCCTAGCTGCTTCCCTTCCCTGTCTCTCCCCTCACCAACTGTTGGTCCAAACCCATATCCTCCCCTTCTCTTTACTCTGAACAGTTTCTTGTCTGGGATCCTGGCACTAACCCCCATACTTCTCTAAGAGCAGGAGGCTGGAGCCACATATGTCTGAGGTGCTGTTTTTCCTGCACACCCTGGGGCCTGGCCTTGGGGACTCTGTGCACATTTCCCAGCTTCCAGGGCCTGTCCTCCCCGTTTCATTCTTCGTGGCATGGAAAAGGAAAGTGGACTCAGGGGGCAGGGTCTCTTGGGACCCAGCAAGCTGTCTCTGGAGCCCTCCCTTCCCTCGGCACGCTCACATTACCCACCTCGATGCAGGATTAAGTGGTGTGTTTTTCTTCTCTGTGGGTCGTGAAAAGCTCTTTCTTGTTTGTACTTGCCAGACTCAGGCATAGTGCTGGGGACCAGACATCTGCATAGAGAAGGCAACAAAGATGATGATCCCTGTGTATGTTGGTGGCTGGCTGCTCTGTCTGGTACCTCTCACCACTTTATTGAAGCCCTAGGCAGACAAAACTTTTTTTTCTTTGTTAAGCGGGGACACTGAGTACCAGAGACACGCCAGTGAGCCCCAGGTCACATAATAGGACAAGGGGCTGACTGAGCACAGCCATGTGACAGATGGCTCTCAGAGCAGCTGGACTGGCTTCCTCCTTACCAGCTCAGGAGCCCCTCTGGCCACGGCTCTTGAAAACCTCTTGAAAATGTCTGTCCTCTTTTACCATCTGTTCCCTGGCTTGCATCCTCACCCCGCGTCTCCTGCAGAGCCTGGCTGATCTGTGGTCTGCTAGGGAAACGCCCTAGGTCCCCCCAAAGGACCGCTCCCCTCTTCTCCCATTTAGGTTGCTATTTCTTCTCCAGCCTTTGAGCTGGTGAGAGGCTCCTTGGACTTCCAGGCCAGCTAAAAGATATGCCAGGTTCCCAGTGCCATTTGATTTTGGAGTCAAACTTGTTACAGAGGAGAAGGCTGCTCCGGATGCTGGCGGTGACTGGAGAAGTCCAGGAGGCTCCAACAGCTACAGGTCTAGTGGGAGCCCCCAGCTCAGTGTTGGGCAGATCATCTTATTTATAAGGAAATAAGCAGATAGTGACATTCCACCCAAGTCCTGTGCCCTAAGATGGGGGGGGGGGCACATGCTGCCTTGACCTTGTCATGGAAGTTCCCCTTTAATGTTGTATTGATGTGCTTATCATTCCCATCTTGACTCTGTCAGTCACATGCCAGGGGAGATGCTCTAACCGAGTTGGAGCAAGGATGAGGGATATAGCTACCAGCCCACGTTTAACAAGACCTTAGCGGATAGGGATGAAGAAAGAAATAAGTTTGCCATGTTAGAGAGACTAAAGAAGGCAATGCCAGCGAGTCTCTGTGCTGTTGAGTCTCCTGGTCCAGATTTTCTGTGTAGTTGCAGATAGAAAGAGAGCAGAACTATGTAATCGTAAGAAAAACCCTCTGTGGAGAAGGGTTGGGGGTGGTTTTGGGGATGCCGGAAGTGGGAGACAGATTCTCTCCATATCCATGTGGATGCTTGAATCTCAGTCAGGGGGTTGTTTAAATAACATCATACAGAAGATGGTAACTAGTGATTGCTCAAAAATGCAGGATTCTGCAGGATCTCCATTTCTGCCTTTGTCTTTTCCTATTGCCCTTGCTTCCTTCTGTGGGGGGAATTTGACCAAAGTGGAACCTTTGAAAAGCCTAGTATTTGCCAGGGATGTACTAAAGTACCAGGGACTAGGCAACTGAAGACAGAAATAGGCCCTTGCTTACAGTTCTAAAAGCCACAAGTCTGGAGTGTCAGTGGGACCATGCTTTCTCTGCACTGTCAGAGACCCGGATGAGCTGATAAATGAGGTCACATGGCCAGGACACTCCCTGTAGGAGGTGATGCTTGCCATAGGCATGATAGGGAGGGAGGGAGGGAGGGAGGGAGGGAGGGAGGGAGGAATCCCCTCCAGTTCAGGCTGATAGAAGCCTCTGCGGTCAGAGCACTAGGGTAAGAGGGAGAAGGACGGGGGCTAACTGTGGGTGTTAGACTTTGCTTCACATCCAGTCCTGAGGCAGGGGTAGAGAACAGGCCCGCTCCTGCTCCTGGCTGAGTGTGGCACAGCTGTGCACAGGGGCTCTGCCTGGTGATCCTGGGAGGCAGGAGAGGGGCAGCCTGTTGGCCTTTGTTCTGACACAATGCAGAAGAGTCCAGGCAAGAACAAGGCGATGTCTCACCCTGAGGAGACTCTTCCTCCTTGTCCCTGAGTTCTGGTTTCTTTAACTTTCAGGTTAGGGTCACAATCATTGGAGCCACTCTGGGTTGGGAAGCGCAACGTGTTCCAGGATTTGGGCATCGTTCTCCAAGGCTCTGGCTGTCAGGAAGTGGAACCTGGTTCCCTGCCCTGGTCCTAGATGCTGTCTATCAACACACCCCTTCCCTCTTCTCTGTTTTCTGACAGCAGGAACCAGTTAGAGAGCATTGCCAGTGTCCTTTCGACACCTTTCATCTATCTGTCTCTGAACTTTAGTTTTGCTCTTTTTTTTTTGGAAACAAATCTCACACTACATTCCAGGCTGACACTGGAACTCACTATGTAGCTCAGGCTGGTCTCAAACTTGTGACAATCTTCCTGCTTTTAGCTCTCTAAGGGCTGGTGTTACAGATGCGTGGCTGGGGCGTTGCTTAAATTGCACGGTGCCTGCCTCTGCCCGGCTCCCTTCACTTTCTATTCCCTCCTCTCCTGGCTTCCTCAGGTTCTAGGATCTGCAGTGTGGAGCTTCTATGCCCCAGGCAGTGCGGAGGAGGCTGGAGCAGACTGCCAGACTAAACTGTTTCCTCCTTGGGTCTTTTCCTGACACCAGGTCCCGCCTGGCAGACTTCCACGCCAACTGTCGAGCCTCCTACCGGACACTCACCAGCTGCCCTGCGGACAACTACCAGGCGTGTCTGGGCTCCTATGCTGGCATGATTGGTAAGCACTCCTTGTGTTTTCTGTGCTTTCAGCGCACCCCCTCACAACCTCGCTGGGGTGGGGAGTGTTGCAGCCCAGCCCAAGACCAGTGAAAGAGACTCAAGGCACTACCTTGCCTGTGGCAGATTCAGAGTGGCATCCAGGGGAAAGCAGAGGGAGGCTACTCCTTACTAGAAGGGGCCCGTTTCTTTGTTACAAGGCTTTGGAAATTAATCTACAGCCTTCTAGGCTCTGCTAATCAGTCAATGGGGACTCTTATATTGAAGCTTTCACTAAGTAGCCGATGTTTCTTTCTTTCTTTCTTTCTTTTTTTTTTTTAAAGATTTATTCATTTATTATGTATACAGTGTTCTGCAGGGCAGAAGAGGGCACCAGATCTCATTATGGATGGTTGTAAGCCACCATGTGGTTGCTGGGAATTAAACTTAGGACCTCTGGAAGAATAGCCAGTGCTCTTAACCGCTGAGCCATCTCTCCATATTTCATAGACAAGGAAACTGATGCTTAGGAGAATCCGAGTTCCTTGACCAGGCTCACTTAGTTGGTAAATCCTAGCACTGAGATCCAACCCAGGATGCGTGCCTTCATCTTTTGGATTCTAGAAGAATCACTCTGCACGTTTGTGAGGGAGAAAGCAAGGACCTGAAGGCTGGGCCTGAGCTGCTGGAGTCTTTTCTGCCCTCCGGGTGGCAGAGAGACTGGTCTTCTCTAGGCCTTTGGCTTTTCTGGCCCTGCTAACTCCATGGTCACTAGGGGTCATTGTACTCAGAGTTAGGATTGTAAATTGAGGTACCTGAGTTTTGTTTGGTGTTGGGGAGGAAGGCAAACGTGAACCTTTGTCCTATTGCGCCTACGCATCTTCTTTTCCTTCCCTTTCTCCCTCCCAGGGTTTGATATGACACCCAACTATGTGGACTCCAACCCCACTGGTATTGTGGTGTCTCCCTGGTGTAATTGTCGTGGTAGTGGGAACCAGGAGGAAGAATGTGAGAAATTCCTCCGGGACTTCACAGAAAACCCATGCCTCCGTAAGTCTGGGAAGACTTCCCCTTCTCCTTCTGTCTTGTAGCTGGAATACACTTTTGCTACCTGGGAAGAAACCTAGAGCTGCTTTGGTCACTTTGCTCTCATCTTCTCAGGATGGCCAATGATACCTGTGGGGCTTCTGTACCATGTAGGGGTTCCTAGAGACCTGAAGTTTTCAGCTCTTGGAGATTTCATACCAGAACTGTCAGTGGGCTGCCTGAGCCGACTGTCAGAGTCTCTAAGCTCATGGGATGCCAAGACAGAATGATTGTCATTGGCTGTTCTGACAGCATCAGCCAGTTTCCTTTGGAGACCGAGTGCTCCCATGAGGACCACAGGCACCCTTTCCATGTATTGGGTCTTTCCTTTTGGAATTGGTGTTTTAAAAAAAATCATTTAACTACTAGTCCAGAGGCTGCAGAGAGAAGTGGTCACAGTGAAATTTGGCCCGTCTTTGGTCTTTGCAGCCTGACATCCCTTGTCGATTATGACACTGGCAAAGCTCTTCCCCTCTTCTTTCTCTCCTTTTTTCCTTCTGTTCATCTTTTTTTTTTTTTTTGCCTTCCCTTGCCTGGTATTGGGGATTCAGGTTCCAGTGCCTGTCATTAAAGCACGCGTAACTAGATGGAGGTAAATTGGAGTCATCTGTCATCCCAGCACAGATGGAAGCTATAGGCTACAGTTCTCTCTGGTGTCAGAGTTCAGATACCCAAGTCCTCCTAGACAAGGGAGAACTCAAGGTTTCTCGGAGGCTGTATCTCTTGAGGACAGCTGGATATTAGCCAGTTGCAAGGTAGGGACATCTGGTGGTCTACTCTGACAGGTTCCCGGGGCTCCCTAGAAGGACATAGACTGATGAGGAGATTGCAGGGCAGAGAGCCTTGTCACACAGCATTGAAGGTGACCAGAGTGGCATGTATCTGACTGGAAGATAGTGTATACTCCTCCTGCAGATCCGAAGGCATTGGGACTTTCTTGCCTGAAAGTCATGGTGGTTGGGAGGTAGAATAGAGTGGTTAAAGGATACTAGCCAGAAGTTTGTATTGGCGTCCGGTTCAACCTAGATGTGAGTAGGTGTCATTGGGGTTATGGATATGGCTTTTATGGGTGACCTAATACTGAGAGTCCCATACTGTAGTAGGTGCTTGTGGGAGAAGACTGTGATGATTAGGGGACAGGAACTAGAGGTGGAGCCATGAGATGCCTAGGAGGTAGTCTGAGATGACATCTCGTGGAATGGTTAGAAGGCACCATAGGCTCCCAAGGTTCTGCTTTGGAGGACTTAGTTAGGTATAGAAGACATCTTCAGGACTGGCAATAAAGGGGAGAAAGCATTGCTGATGGTAAGAAGGTATGCATAGTCCACAATGAGACATCATGGAGGTAGATATTTCTGTAGATATTTGTTGAGTTTTAGGAATAATTTTGTTCAAGAAGTCTGATTAGATTGCTCTGGCGGATTAGTGCTAGTTGGTGGTATGAGATAGGAAGGCCGTCCAGGAAAAGTCAATGATGTGGAGAGAGAGAATGGCTGAGGCTGGGGTGGGAATCAGGAAGTACCTGAGTTGACAAAGGAGCTAGAAGAGCCTGTGCTCAGGAAGCCAAGATGGGGCCTTCTGCAAGAGAGGTCTTCAGTGCTGGCCACCAAGAAGACGCTCCTGACATCTTGGCCTAGCCAACTGTCTCTAAACTTCATGGCTCCGCTCTTGTAGCAATTCTTACTGTGCTAATTTCTTTCCATTTTGATTTTTCTGTCTTTTCTAGTATTTCTGTGCTATTTTTCCTCACCAATTGGGAGAACACTTTATGTCTGAAAGGAGCCTTAGCAAAGTCAAACTCCAGTGTCCAACCATTTGTCTCCAGCTTGTGGGCTCCTTCGGGAGAGCAGTGGTTAGGAAGGAGGTTCATCAGGAATGATGGCGGCGGGCTCTGATCTTGCTATTTCTATCTTCCCTCTCTCCAGGGAATGCCATTCAGGCCTTTGGCAATGGCACAGATGTGAACATGTCTCCCAAAGGCCCCTCATTCCCAGCTACCCAGGCTCCGCGGGTGGAGAAGGTTCCTTCCTTGCCAGATGATCTCAGTGACAGCACCAGCCTGGGGACCAGTGTCATCACCACCTGCACGTCTATCCAGGTGAGGGCTGTGTCTCTGAGGCTTGGGAACAGGAATTTGGATAGCTCGAGAGCTCAGAAAGCATCAGGGTCAAACATAACGGGAATTCACTGAAATGGAACCGTTGAAGGAACGCCGACGGGTCCTTAAGATTAGGAGCTCAAGGGCCGGGGAGTTGGGAAAGAACATTTTTTCACCTCTTCATTCATGTAGGTATTTTCTTTGCAACCGTGAAACCTCTTGTTACCTAACAATATTGCAGCAGACAGACTTGGGTACAAGAGAAATGTAACAGTTGCTGTCTGCTAGTTATCAGTGAGCATGCTAGGAATTCTCATCTTGTTAAATTCACAATGAGGTGACAGTGTTTTTAATTAATTAATTAATTTATTTATTTATGTGTTTATTTTATAAACCAATCCCAGTTCCCCTGACTTCTTTCTTACTGCTCCCCCACCTTCCCCACCCCCAACCCCATCTGCTTCTCAGAGAGAGTAAGAACTCCCCTAGGGAGTCAACTAAGTCTGTCCCATCATCTTGTTGATGGAGAACCAAAGATCCCCCCTGCCCGGGCCTAGGCTGAGCAAAGTATCTCTCTATAGAGAATGGGCTCCACAAAGTCAGTTCATGCACTAGGGTTAGATCCTGGTCCCACTGCCACGTCCTGCCCAAGCCCCACCATTGTCACCTGCTTTCATGGCCTATTTGGTTCCTATGCAGGTTCTCCTGTTGTCAGCTCGGAATCAGTGAGCTCCCACTAGTTCAGGTCCGCTGATTCTGTGGGTTTCCCCATCATGGTCTTAAACCCTTTGTTCATGGTATCGCTCCTCCTTCTCTTCGATTGTACTCTGGGAACTGGGCCCAATGATTAGTTGTGGATCTCTGCATCTGCTTCCATCAGTTTCTGGATGAGGGTCCTATGATGTCAATTAAGATAGTCCTCAATCTGATCTCAGTGAAGGTCAGTTAAGGCATCTTCTCCACAATTGCTTGGTTTCTTAGCTGGGGGAGGTGACGACATTCTTACTCAACATTCAGGACCTGATCCAGAGGTCTCAGGTGACAGACCCGTGATCGTGTGCTGATGGTTGGTGGCATGAGATTTCAAACCTTCATCTACCTCTAAGATTTACAGTGTTCATTGAATTGCCCATTCACCCCTGCATCTATCCATCCACCCATCCATGCAATATGACTTACAGACTCTGTATGCTGTATCTTATATGAGCTACTAGGGAAACATTGGTGAATGAGATTGATACTCTGGGCTGTGCAGTGTGCTGGTTAGATTTATGTCAACTTGACACAAACTGTAGTCATCCAAGAGGAGAAACCTCTATTGAGAAAACACCTCCCTAAGATCAGGCTGTGAGCCAGCCTGTCGAGCATTTTCTTAATTAGTGATTGATGGGGGAGGACCCAGACCATTGTGAATGGTGCCATTCCTGAGCTGGTGGTCCTGGTTTCTATAAGAAGTCAGACAGAGCAAGCCACGGGGAGCAGGCCAGTACACAGCACTCCTCCATTGCTTCTGCATCAGTTCCTGCCTCCAGGTTCCTGGCCTGTTTGAGTTTCCTGTCCTGGTTTGACATACTGCAATGTGAAAAAGTAAGCCAAATAAACCCTTTCCTCCCCAACTTGCTTTTGGTCATGGTGTTTCATTGTAGCAGTAGGAACCCTAACTAAGATAAATAGACTTTATGGCCTTGAAAGTCAAGCAGTGATATCCTTCATTGCAGTAGCTTATCTGCTAAAGAGGTTGACCCTAAGCAGGCCAAATACATACATACTTACTCACACATGCACACACTGATACAGATGTAGACACAGATACACACACACACACACACACACACACACACACACACACACACACCTAGAACAAAATATTTCAAAGAAAATTTAGTTCAGAATGCCAAAGGATAAAAAGTGAGGCATGTGTGGAGAACACAGGAGATGGCTCGGGCAGGACTTCTCAGAGATTAGCTGGATGCACTGCTGGAGTCTGGAGAGCATCCCGCTCCATAGACAGCTGTCAGCTCAATTCCATGCTATTGTGGTAGAAAGTTAGGATGACCTGAGTTGTGCCACCTGCTAGATGACCAGACTCAGGCACAATTTACCCTTCTTATGCCTTATGTGACCCCAAAGGGTACCCTTGATCCTATGCTTCTTGGGGACATCTCTCCTATGAAGAAGCTACATTGGCAGAAGACTGGTATGCCTATACCCTCTCTGTGATCACTTGTGGGCACAGAGAATCTCAATGCTGTGGTGCGGGCCCCCACCCCAGATTCTTCAGTGCCTAACAACGCCAAATCTCATTCTTTCTTCTTAGAGAAATGAATTCTTTACATCTTGACTAGTCAGTTAATTATTGCTATATGTGAGCCTATTTGTGTATGATGTGTATACACAGGTACACATGCCATAACACAAATGTAGATGTCAGAGGACAACTTTGTGGAGTCAATTCTCTCCTCTCGCCACTGTGTGTGCTTCCGGGCTCAAACTCAGACGGTCAGGTTTGCACAGTGAGCACCTTTACTGGCTATGTCATTGCATGGACCCACATTGCCTGTTCATGTTCTGAGTTTCTAAAGCATCCTTGTTTAGTTCCCCTCCCCCGACAACATGGGCTTTCACAGGCTCCAGTCTGGGGACCCCTGTCTTAATCCTGATTTGATTCTAGAGGAGATGATGAGTGATCTGTATGGAAGGTGATGTGAAAACGCCTTGCAGACTGAGGGATGCTATTCAAAGGCAGGGATTGTGAAGCTCCGGTGGGCGGGAGGCTCCTTAGCAGGTGGTTCCTGCAGGACTGGCCATGGGGATTGTCAACCTGGCACCCGTTGACTAAATCATTGAGCAGGATGCTAGGGACAGCCATTCCAGAAGGCAAGGAAGAAAATAAGGTATTTAGGAGAGACCTGCTCACCATTCCCTGTTGGATTCCTGCTCAGAAATGCAAGGGGAGTGCTTCTGAATCTTACTGTTTTGTAGGGAACCCCCTTTCACATGCCAAGCTGGGGGCTGGCCTGAGGCTCTGCTTCTTCCCACCCTATACCCCTCTCCTAGGACTGGGGAAGATAGGACCCCTCCTGGGATTAAGGCTGCAGAGAGAACCTTGTGTATAGGTTTATTTTTCTGAGTCTATATGAGCCCTCTGAGGCAGGGCTGACATATACATGCTTTTATTCATTTTTATGTGTGTGTATATGTGCCATGTCACAAATGTAGATATCAGAGGACTGCTTGTGAGAGTCAACTTTCTACCGTGCTGTTTTGGGGACCAAACTCAGGTTTACTAGACTTGGTGACAAGCACCCTTACCTGGTGAATCATCTCATCTCCCTGGGGCTGAGAAACTTAAGGGCACAGCCCCAGTCCGTGAGGGAGGGGGGCAGTGGATCTGAGTAATTGTTCTGGCCTTAGGTATTAGAATTTCCAGCTCTCTGTTCCTCCCCACCCACGTGCTGCTTTTAGAAAAACAGGAAACCCCCCTGCTGTTTTGTGTGACTAGACCTGGGTGGAGGGGACTCGGGTTGGCTGTTGGAGGTCATTGAAGCAATTTGCTAGCTGCTGGGTTTCCTGGAAATCAGGAGGGCAGAGGTTTTTTTTTTCTTTCCCTCCAGGCTTTTGCCTCTAGAGTTGTCCTTGTGCAGAGAGGTCGGGGAGTCCTTGGAGAGAGCAGGATGCTGCCCAAGTTATGCTTTCCTTCCAGGCCTCAGACCACAGGTTGAGTTGGGTTGTACCTTCTGACCTTAAGGCTCCTTCCCTGTCACCTGTCACTTGGGTGCTTGGCTTCTGGGTTCTGCCTGATAACAAATTTCTTGGTGCTGCTTTGTGTGATGAACAGGTAATTTTGAGATCTGAGGGGTACAGTGTCTCACCCGAACACCACTTAGGAGTGCATACACATCTGTCTAGACTATTTTATACCTGAAAAAACAGGCTTAGTAAGTTTGTAAGCAAACTTATTCAGCAAAGCCAAGTCTTAAGCCCAGAACTCTGTCGTCTCGGGTCTCTGCTTCTTACTCTGTTCCAGACCACCTTGGGACAAGAATTTAGGTTTTGAAGGATTCTTCTTCCTGATTGGGAGACATTGCTGGGTCCTGGTCACTCTGGGGAGGAATGTAGGCCTAGGTCAGGGGCCCCGTAGAGCTTGTGTGTTCAGATCCTACCTCTATACTTCTGATTGAGCTGGAGAGTGAGGTTCTGGCTTTTCTTTGTTTCTTGATCTTGGTGTAGAATGTTGTGTGGTCATCGGTGTCCTGATGCATGGAGCCTGCATGGAGCCTGCATGGGCTGCCTGAGCATTTGTCCAGTCACAGAGAGCTGTGGCTGTCCCACCTTAGGTAACTGTTTAGTTGAGCTGTTCTCTCAGATCTTAGTTTTCTTAAGGCAATAGACTATTTTCAAACAATTTTATGTGTAACTCTGAAATACATCAGTAAAACAAAAGTGGGCACCTTTGATTGGCATGAGACAAGGTTCTTGAGTGCTGTGGGGGCTGTCTGACTCCGATTTACCAGGATTCCATATCTAGTAAGCCTTGAAATAGGGCAAGGAGGACATAGGACTAAGCCATGGGGCCGCTGAGGACAGGCCAGGCTTGCCACATCCCATAATTAGAATGATGAAAAGTGGTGCTGGGTGCAGGTAGATTCTTGGCAGTCCACAGGAAGGACAGATGTGGCAAGGCGAGGATTAGAGTAGGGGAGGGTGCCAGGTGGGAGACTGTGAAGACAGTCCATCCTCCGAGATGAGATGACATGTTCTCCCTGTGGCCGCCCAGAGCTTGGCCTTGAGGAGGAGCAGCCCATCTTTGGGGATACAAGGCCCTAGAGCTCATGACCCTCTGAAGAGAAGAGCAGTTGGTGGCTTGGTTGGGCCAGCTTTTGTCACCTGGGGACACGGGTACTGTGGTCTTGAGCAGGTTCTTCCTGGGTTTGGATTCTTTTGTTTCTCCAGTCTGGATTATCCCCACACTTTCTTGGCCTGGTTCTCGCTATGCCAGCTGGGGCATCACTCACTTGACTAGATGCCCAGGATGATCAGTTGCCTATAGAGTCCAAAGGATTATTGATAATTCTGGCTGAGAACAGTGACTTTCTCATAATTTCTAGGACTTCCTAGGTGCCTCTAGTGGCCAGAGTGTCCCCACAATGGCTGTGAGAACCAGGCTATTTGAAGCCAGGATAGACCTGCGTCCCCAGTTTGTTCCCATGGGTCTCTGTCACAGTGTTGGTGGCAGAGAACTGTTGATTGCACACATCCTTTGGTCCTGCTGCCAAGAAGTTAGGTCAAGGTAGAGAATTCTGGAGCATTACCAAACCGGCTTTTCTTTCTTATCCTTTGCCTCATCTGCAGAGGGCCCAGGTGCACACATCAGTTTGTGGTCGAAATGGCCAAGCACAGTTGCTAGAACCCTAACATTCGTGACAGGCAGCACCAATCAATCACAGCTCTCTTCTCTCCTGAACTCAGATGAGTGCTCGTTTTCTTTTTTTGCTCCACAGTTCTCCAGCAGCAAAGGCAGATGATGCGCTGGCACCCAGCAGTCATTTTTCTCTGTGGCATTTACTCGTTTGTGCCTGCGTACACTTAGTAAAACATTAGCTGAGTTGCTCTTAGGAGCCAAACCCTGCTCAGTGCAAGGAAAAGGCATGTTCTCTGTTTCTGGGGAGTTGGGAGGAGCATTGGGAGAGGTAGATGACCAGTGACCACAGAATGCTGCAAGCTGGGGGTCAAAATTTTCTTCAGAAGACGGCAGGAGTCAGGATAAAAAAATGCGGAGCATTTCAGAGGAAGCAGGGTGCTTCATGCTGCACCCAGCCAGTGAAGTCTATTATGTACCTGGTGCTTAATGGTGCCAGCAGTATATGACAACACTGGACAAAGCCAGGACCCAAACAGCCTGCTAACCTGTCGTGCCTTCTCTCCCCAGGAGCAAGGGCTGAAGGCCAACAACTCCAAAGAGTTAAGCATGTGTTTCACAGAGGTGAGTAGGGGCATAGTGGGGGGATGGGTACTTGAGGCTGGCCCACAGGAACTGTTATTTATGTGAGAGTTGAACTCAGAGTCCCTGGGTCAGCCGAAATTCTGACCTCGCTTGGACCTGAGTGAGAACTCACTGTGTTGGGGCAGCGGAGGCTCCAGCCAGAGCCTGTGGGTGTCTCCTTGTGGATGACCAAATAGCTGCTCTGAGCGGAGGCCCCTCCCACAGTTCCCTCTAAAAGGGTTGGGTACTGCTTGGCTCTAGTTCTGTGGTGGTTACGGGGCATGGGAGTAGAGAAGGACTCGGACTCTTGGTGGTGCCCCTTGCCCAGGACTGTAGGAGTGACTCACAGGCCCAGGATAGCAAAGGGTGACACACGAGTCTGCCGAAGGGCGAGGGAGAAGCTCTGTCAGATGTCCAGCGATGGGACTTTGTGGAGGAAGAGCAGGGAGCAGGTGGCCTTCTCCTCTTCCTGTCAATAATCAGGCCCTTACGAACTACCTGTTTGGAATCAATTTTTGCTTACTTGCTGCTTTTGAAATAGGATCTTTACCTTAGGGTCCTCACGGGCTTTGAACTCACTTTGTACTCAAGGCTACCACTGAACTTAACGATTTTCCTACCCCCCACCTCCTGAATGCTGGGATTACAAGCTCATGCCAGCGTGCCTGTTTGCCAGTGTGGAGGTCTACAGGTTCATTTACTGAGAACTGCTACCCACGGCCTCGAGGCTTAGAAGAGAGAGAGTCTACCATTTGTTCCTGTCTTGCCCCGTTCCCTGGAGGCACAGTTCTACCCTCAGAGGGCGAGGGAAGCAAAAGATGGGCTCTGGGCAGCGAGAGAGACAGGGCCGGGGAAGAGAGCTTTCGGCATCCGTTTCTTTGACCCCGGCCCTACTGATGGGTTTTTGTTGTTTTCTTTGTATGTGTCACCTCCTCTGCCATGGATCAGCTCACGACAAACATCAGTCCAGGGAGCAAAAAGGTGATCAAACTTTACTCAGGCTCCAGCAGGGGAAGACTGTCGGCTGCCTGGATGGCATTCCCACTTCTGATGCTGACCGTGGCCTTGTAGGCCTTTGGAGCCCAGCACAAAAGTTCTTCAAGCAACCCAGATGTGACTCCCGCCTGATGAAATGGAAACACACACACACACACACACACACCTTGCAAAAAAAAAAAGTTTTTTTTTTTTCCTACATTGTCTTTGAACCTTTCTCTGTCCAAGTTTCTTCTCTGGAGAAGTTTTTCTAAACCAAACAGACAAGCAGGCAGGCAGCCTGAAGCCTGCCCAGAGGTCCCCTGCAAGGGCCACCCAGCACCACCAAGGAGGGCTCAAGGCTCTGCGATGACTCTTTTCTCTTCACTGATGTTTTCTCTCGGGACCATACGACGGCCTGCTGTGGGAGGGACTTCGCTGTGCCTGGTGTGAACTGGAGAAAGGACAATTGGCGCTGTCTCTTGAGGTGCCTACTATGGGGACCGACCCCCCCAGGGACCAGCAGAGCGCGTTGGTCAGCGAGGAAGCAGGGCTGGCCGTAAGGACCTTGTCACCTCTTCCTCTTGACTTCGAAGATGGAGATGGTTCGCCGCCACCCCCAGCGCTTAGGTGGCCTAGTGGGTCTCAGTCTGGAGTGGGAACTCCCATGGCTGCTCCAGGCCGATGGTGCCTGTAGCACAGATGGGGTTAGGAGCTGTTACAGGAGGAAGCTCCTCCAGGGAAGGAGCAAGCCTTGGTTGGGCACCAGCTCCAAGATGCTCCTTCCTCTTTCCTGCCAGGAATCCTGAAGTCAAAGAGAAACGATCCTCTGTTGGCTTTTTTTTTTTTTGGATTTTTTTTTTTGTGGGTCCATTTGGTGGATCTCACTTGGGGAGAAAGGCTGTTGAGTGGGGGCTAGGGACACCCTAGCTGGACATGTGTCCGTAACACTCTGGTGGGGTCCCAAGCTTGCCCTTTCTCTCTTCTCCTCTTTTCCATTTTCTCTTTCCTTATTTCTGAGGCATTCATCTACCGTCTGTACATACTGGGCCTCCTTTCTCTACATATGTGTATATCCATATACATATAGCCTGTGATTTCCTCTTTCTTTCATTTTTTTAAGAAGCAAAACTATGGAAATAATACCCTACAGATGAGCAAAAATGTATTATTGTAAAGTTTATTTTTTTTAATAATGTTGTCTATGATGGGAAGAAAGGTACCAGGCCCCCTGAGCTCTGGTCCAGTTGGGCTGATGGGGCTGTGGCCGGGCACTCCTGATTGCATTCACTCTTAACCAAGCTCCAATAAATGTACTAGGAAGCGAGTTGCCTTCTGACTCACTCCTGTGACTTCGCCTATGCTTTGTTCTTGGCCAAGTACCACCTATCGAATGTTTACTTGAGGGTCTTACTCAGCTGGCAGATGTTCGTACGTATTTGTATGTGTGCACTGGCATGTGTGCATACATGTGTGCATGTATCTGGTCCACATGTCCTGATGTGGTTGACGGATGGAACTCACATAGGAGATTTGTTTTTTAACTTGGTGGGTCTGAGGTCTGCAGAGTCTGTGGGATCTTCTCCCCTCCTGCGTCACCTTCCTGGTCAGCACTGCTGTCTGCTGCTGTAAGGCTAGAAGAAAACTGAGACAGAAGTGGGGTGGGAGAATTGAGAGAGACGCCTGGCATCGATCCTGGGGGATGCTTGTGTTTTGATGCAGCTTACATGGCACTGCCTACCTTATATGTAATGGAGTGGTGTCTCCTTAGGCTTTCTGGTCCACCTGAAGAGTGTGATTGGAACTTTAATCCTTGAGTCTCACTATAGAAAGAAGATGGATTCTTAGTGTTTGGGGGAGGGGTACAAAAGACCGTTTTTTAAAATTTTCTCTATCCCATTCTTCCATCTTTTCCCATTTGCCACACAGACCCTACTAGAATACTAGGACTACATATACATATACATCACATATACATCACACACACACACACACACACACACACACACACACACACACATAGGATGGAGAGGGAAAGTCTGATCTACATCTTTAGGGTGGCCTGTGATCCTGCCTTGTCACCCTATGGAGTGATGTCATTTTTCAGTTTCTCTGTCCTAGTTCTGCTCAAATGACTCTTATTGATTGTACACATGTTCGTAACATCTGCTCACCGTGGTGACAGCGACATGTTATGCTCCAGCTTCAGCCTGGAGGAAGGACAGTGAGCCAGCCAGCCCTCTTCCCGGCCACCCCTGCCTTACTGAGCTTGCTGCTTGAGAATATATTGTTCTTGTAATCAGCAAAGACTCCATAGGTTTGCAAGGGATTTCCTGGAAGGTTCTGGGAGGTGGGGGTTCGCAGAATCAGAAGGGGATCCAAAGAAGGCTGGAGCAGAAAGTATAGAACATCTAAGGAACCCTGGGGCCTAGACCTTGAGACGAAGGCTGGGGCAGACAAAGGCAAAGAAACAGTAGGACCAGGAGCAGGCTGAGGGGACCCACAGAGAGCAATTCTCAGTTACTTTGCAGTTATTTGGTAACCTGTGTGCTTCCCTTTGTCATCAGACATGACATTAGCTCCCTTAACCCCTGGCTCCTGAACAATCTTCATCCAGGCAATATGTCCGTATTCCAGGCACAATAGCTCATGTTCACTATTCCAGGACCTTTGCAAGTCTAAAGGCACATCTCTGCTTTTCTACTTGCTGGGAACATCTGCTATGGGCAGTTATGTTCAGATCAGAGCATGGACATCAGGTTCCTGTTGGCTCTTGCCTCTGCAGGCCTCCTTTCTTGCAGCAGGTACTCCAGGCCAGGAAGAAGGTCTGCAGAAGCTGGCAGTGGGGGGGTCTAAGAAGACCTGTGTTCATGAGATCAATGTTCTGGACCTCGCGGGAGCCGTGCTGCTGGTCTCACTCTGAACTTGTGCCCCTCTTCAGAGCCAGGTCTCCGCCTTATGTTGTGACTTGTCATGGTGTCATTGTCTTAGTTCCCGAGTCCTCAAACCCTGCATTTGCAAGAAAAAATAGAGCAGGGTTCCCAAGGACGGGCTTGAGCCTGATTTTACTGTTGTTCCCAGAAAACAAGCTTTGCATGTTACCCTTAGGCCTGAATGTGTCCAAAGGACCCTCCTGATACCAGTGATCCAGGATGAATGCTTGTGTCTGCCCTAGGCTCCCCGTCACTGAGATGCCTGCTGATTCCGGGAGCGCGTGGTTTGACTCACCTCTTGCTGTAGCTGGACTTTGCTCCACAGATGCTTCTTCACATGTGTACATGTGTGTATGCATGCATGTGTACCTTGTCTCTAGTCATGAACTGCCAAATGCCCAAATGAGATAGACTTTCTTTTGTTCTTGGAAGAGCAAAGTTTCAGGCTTAGGTGCTGGCTGGAGAAATTCTTGGCCCAGACTTTTCTAATTTGTGAAGTGGATTTAAGTCAAGCAGCCCCTACCAAGTGGGTTAGGATGCCAGAGGATAAAACCACACACTCCATGTTAATACAGGTGAATCTATTCATGGCCAATTTTCCACTGTTATGGGTCTCTGTGGGGGTTGATGTTCACCTTCTAAAAATGATTAAATTTTTAAGAAAAAGTCAAAGTAATTTGAAACCAAAAGTGACAAATAAGACAGGTACTATTCTTTGTGGTAGGTCTAAGTAGTGAAAAGCTGCCTTTGGGACACAGAAGGGAAATCTTGTCATCTTGTTCAACCTTGGGAGCCTCACCTGTGAAGTTATATTAGACAAGCACTTGAGACATCCTTCTCAACTTTAAATGAGCTCTGAGGAAGAGGGTAAAGGCACAGAGATGGTCAGAGATGGACAGAAACCAACTCCCAGGCTGGCCCTAAGCAGTCAGCTTGGTTTTCATGACCAGTGTGTCTACTGCCTCTTGAGGCACTCCACTGGTATTCTGGACAAGGCCTTCATATCCAGTTTGCTGAGGGATGGATTGATCTGAAAACCTAACCCAATGACCTTGAGCATCTTCTATATTAAAACAGGTAAGTAAACATAAAGGGCTTGGAGATCTTCTCAAAGACATTAGCAAGGGGCTGGAGAGATGGAGTATTGCTATAATGGCTGCCATGCCTGCATACATAAAAACCCAAGTTCAAATCCCCAGCACCCTGTGTGTTGTGATGTGAATTTATAACACATAGTTGAGGTTAGGAAGATAGTTGGATCCTTGAAGCTTGCTGGTCAGCCAGTATGGCCAGTCAGCAAGTTCCTGGTTTAGTGAGAGACTCTGTCTCAAAAGGTAAGGTGGAAAGTTACCAAGGAAGACACCACATTGACGTATAGCCTCCATACACATGTATACACATGTACATGTACCCCCATGCCCATGTGAACACACATACACCACATACATGCATACACGCAAATACCTAACAGAGCACAAATGATGCAGTGCATCAACTCCTGAGAATGTCATTTACTGCATCCCATTTTTTGTTTAAAGTAGGGTTTTTTTTTGCTGTACCGCCCATGGCCGAAAAAGACAATCCTGCGTTTTGAAGGGATCATAACAGGATCATTGAAAACAAAACCCGAAACAGTGAGGATGTTTTGAAATGTGCACATCTAAGATATTACAAATGCTCATGTGTCCCTGTGCAAGGTGCTGTTTTGAAACTGTGTAAAATCAACCCGCCCCCCGTTGAGACTCAGGTGGGTTGATGCCATAGTTCCTATTGCAGACACTGAAATAAAGATGTTCCAATCTATCTCAGATATTGAAGAAGGTGAGTGGTGGGTCTCAGGCTCAAATTCAGTGGCTAGTACCAGACGTCTGCCTCCCACCAGGCAGCCAGTATGAATTGAACTGCTGTATAGATGACCTATTGTGCTGGCCCATAGCTGCCCAGGTAAACACAGTCACTTTCCTGAACTTGTTGCCACACCCTTCTATCCCCTTCAGCATCCTCATCATTTGTATGGCTAAGGGTACCAGACCACTGACAGACAGAGGGCTGAGTGTACCCTAAGGAGTCTGCAGGGCAGTGGGGAGGGAGTTCTGCAGTTTCATAAAATCAAGCGTGGTGTATGCATGAAAGAGCAGACAAGGGAAGGGGACTGCTACTCAGTGACAAAGGACCTTGGGTGGAGGCCTTGCTGGTGGTCAGAGGAGGATGGAGCTGGGTAATCTACAGCAGCATCACCATCTCAAATTTCCTGGAATAGATTAATGGTTTTATTGAGAAAAGGATTTTGTGGGAAGATGGACCCTTTAGGAAAGTGACCACCTGGGATCTTACTTTATTGACCTTAGATTGTTCTTGCCGTGGGGGACCAATGTTTAAGAGGAGAGAGGACAAATTTGGGACTCAAAGTGATGTGATTTGAGTTCTAAATATGCCCCTGACCAACTAGGATTTCATGTCCAGTACCCCTGAATTGTCTCACATAGAAAATGATGACAGCAAGCTGACTTCCTAGGAGTGCCCAGGAATACGTGGGCTATTCTCTGTGTGTGGCATATAGTGCCCATTAAACCATGCATTGTCTCACCCAGGGGTCAATATTCTGGGGCTCTCCGATTCCCTCAGTGCCCGCCTTGATGCCCAGGCTCGTCTGCTTCGGGTCACCTTTGGAGCTTCTTCCGTCCCTTCCTTCTACATCCTAAGAGGATTTCCTGAATCCCCTGGGATAGACCACACGATTGTCACCCCACTCCAGGGCGCTGCTCTTAGAAACCCTGCCAAGTGGAGTTTGGAGGGCAGAGAGAGTGGGGACATCAGAGAGCAGACGTGCTTGCATTATTTGTAAACTGCAGTTGAGCTGATCTGAGAGTCACCAGGGACAGTGGCTGCAGAGCGTCTAAATGTCATGCTCTCTGGACTCCTTTGATTGGCTGTCCCTTCTCCAAGCATGAAGGCAGAGGACGTGCTGCCAGGGCAGGTGCAGCAGCGCACAACTGAGAACGGGAAGCATCGATTAGACACGGGGCTGAGCTCTGGAAAGGTCAGCACCTATGGGAGGGTGGCTGCCATGTCCCAAGGCAAGAACAGAGATGTCTCTACAAGACCACGAGCTTTCAGGAACTTGCTACGAGAAGACAGCTTTGAGCTTCCAAATCCAGTTTCTGAGGACTTGTCTGTGTGCTTTTTCTCAAGTCTGGAAAGAAGGTAAGATCTAAAGATATCAAAATATCAAAAGATATTTTGTCCTTTAGGAATCTAGGATCTTCTAGGTTTGATCTTGAGTCGACTCTTGCCATCTGTTGGCTAGTGACATCAACTAAGTTGGGTCCCTTAATCATTTCTTTAGATAGTGATAAATATGTTAGCTTTTAAATTGTATTTTTATTTTTTGTACTGGGGATTGAACTTACG